CCCTTTCCAGTTTGCTAAAAACAGCAAGTCTTACACTGCAATGGGTTGGGGTTAGGGCAGTGGTGGAATTCAAATTTGTTTAGTACCGGTTCTGTGGGCATGGCTTGGTGGGCATGGCAGGGGAAGGATACTGTAAAATCTCCAGTCAGAGGTGATATTTGCCAGTTCTCCAAACTACTCAACATTTCTGTTACCAGTTCTCCAGAACTGGTCAGAATACCACCTTTCCTGAATACCACCTTTAGGTTAGGGCATGGCACATGGCAACCTGGCATGATGCTCAAGTTGTCACTTTAATAATACAGTGGATCCTGCAAAAGCTTTTGATCAAAAGATTATTGGCCTTTGATAAATACATGTACAATGGATCTGCATTCAAAATAATAAATAGCATTCTGATGTATTTCATCATTGTCTTTGCATGTAGAAGTGGGAAAAGACCCTATCCAAAATAAATGTGTTCTGAGAAAAGATTAGCTCATATAAATTTCCAAATTCTTTTGAGAAACATGATTTTGAAGGTAATGTATTTCTTATTTCCATAGTCTTCCAAATGAAAAATTAAATTTCTCTTGAAGAAACAGTTCTTTACCCTTTTAAATGCTGTGTAGAAATTGCAAGTAACTGTTGAGCATTAGGTTTTTTTTAATGTAACATTGGAAGATGCCCAAAAGGAAACATCAGTCTTAGTGAATATTGATCTCTCATCTTTAAATTTTTGGAAACTAGTTTCCCATAAAGTCAGGCCATTTCCCCAGTAACAACTTCATAGCATCACCCAACCATTGTTGCAATAATGAATAGCCTATGCTCATTACTATTATTTTGGCATGAAATGCTTGAATGACTCTAGAAAACACTGTAAATTACTAATGGGGAAATAACCTAAGTCTCCTCTGAGATCCTTACTACTAGTCACAAATCAGAATCTTATGTAGTTATAATTACTAACACAGAAGAGGAGAAAGTCAGAAAGTTTCAAAACAATCTTCCAGTTGATAAGAAAAATTGCATTCTATACCTGATCATTTAGTAATTCAGTTGCTCATAAAAAAAACTGCCTATATTGCTAAGGACAGCTTGTTGAAATAGAATTCTTATAACCAGTAGCCAACCCTGCTGGTGAAAAATGCATTAAAAACTATGCTTGCAACAGTTAGCAGTAGAAGGATGAGGAGTGATTGAAAAGAGGGGTTTCTTTATTCTAATTACTTTATTCTAATTATTGCACTAATTACTGGAGATTTTGTAGCAGCATCTGGATGACTTCAGAAGAAAAAGCTATAAAAGCTAGATTGAATAGTACCTGACTGTACAGCATCATTCCTCCAGAAAAGTCCCTCTAAAAACTGTTGGGGTTTTTTCCCCATCATTTTTCAAAATGCATAGTCACAGACATCAAACTCTGTAAGAAGACTGACTAAAGAGTCATCCCCGCCCCTTCCCCCCACCCCTGATCCATGATTATTCCACAATAGCAAAGGTAGTAGCGGCTGCTTAGCCCTTTACTTTTACTTAATAGCCTATAAATATTGGACCTTTGTTCCATAAGGATGCAATCTTCGAGAGAATATCACAAAAGTGTTCTTTCAGTAGGCAACGGGACTTTTTTCTTTTTTTTCTTTGAAAGTGTTTCGCTTCTCATACAAGAAACCTCCACTTATCTGTGTCTTGGGGTCACATGAATAATACTCCTAAATCTCCAAGTGCTTCAACAACCCTCTAAAAGGATGCAAATGACCAGCAGTCTGCAAGGATATAAATCCTTCCATTCTATACTATCCTGTCAGAGCTGAAGAAGCTTCTTGGATGAGAAGCAAAACATCTTCAAAAGAAAAAACAAGAAAGTCCAGTTGCCATTCACAAAAGTAAAAAATAGATAAATAACAAATTTCCTTCTTAAACACTAGAAATGAATACACAAATAGTCTGAAGATGAATGAAGATAAGAACATGAACTCTTAAATAGGTGTGGAATATTACAAAATCACCTAAATGACAAAATATTTAAGTTTTAGCAAATTTGTCATCCTCACTTTGGACTTGTAACCCTAGAGAAATACTCTGTCATTGTAGATATAGTTATGTTCTCTAATCTGAATGAGATTGAAAGACAGTTTCTAATGTTTATTTCATAAAGTAGTACAAATCAAGTTAACTCAGTCTCACAAAACCCAGAGTGATTTCCAGATTACAGGTTCTTTTAAGTATGTAATTCTTAAGCAATTCATATTAATATTCCTAACATCCTGACTTTTTCCTTCTTATTGCCAGGAATGAATGAATAAATGAAATAACACTCAGATGAAATACATAAGCATTTTCCTCACTTTCTTTAATCTTCTTTCATGTTATTCAGCTAGTAATATGCCATTTTTGTAACATACAAAACAATCAAATTGATCACTATAACAGTTGGTTCAGAACTAATAATGAATTCATCTTGTTTATGAAGCTTTGGATTTTTGGACTTAATCAGTGTTTCTACTGTTATTTGAGTAAATGACAGTCTTGCAAACATTTTGAAATAAATTTATTGTAAATTGTTTTGAGGAGGGAAGAGGGATGGGAAATATTTTAAATGCTTTTAGTAATATTTTGGTCAATTTTGGGAAGGCTTTCACAATGTGGCAACAGAAAATTATGCTCAGTTTCAGTAAATGGAGGGTTTGGAAAGTGTGGTTTTTGACGTTTGGGACTGAGATAATTAGATTGGGCACATGTTACACAACAATCTGCAATCTGAGAATACATCACTTTTGTGCGTCAATACCAATTTTTAAAATAATGTAATACTTTCTTTGAGGTTAATTTTGCAGTGTTATTCTATACCATCTAAGGATTACAGCAGCACTTACAACATTTTTTTTCAAAAACCAACTCTTTGGTTTTCCTTTGTTGACTGTAAAATAGAAATAAACATTGATATCACAGTATACTTAAAAAGAAAAAAAAACTACCATATATAAGGAGATTCCCTGCTGCTTATTCAATGCTACTTAATTAAGACAGATGCCCATGGCATATTATTCTTCCAATTACATTTAAGTACATTCCATGTGGAGTCCTTGACAAGAATCTCATAATACTCCCTTCTATTAAAATATATCCCACATTATGTTCTACAGATTTATCTAGTGGATTTTATGAATCATGATCTGATTTCTCAAGCTTTGAGTTACATTAATATTTTTTATTTCCCTTCTTCATTCTTACCTCATTTGCTTCTGCATATGCCAACCCTCCATTACTAAGAAACTTCAACATAGCACATGTGACTCTGATCTTCAGGTACCTTAATTATATATAACTTCTCTTTAAGGTTAAAACATTTGAAGTAATCAAGTACTCAGGACCAACCCCAATTATCTGAGAAGGGAATTAAACTTTAGAAAGTTTATTTTCCTTCTCAGATATTCACCAGGGAACAGATCAAGTGAGCTTTTACTTTATAATCTTGGCTTTTTTCAATGGATGTTGATCTGGTTTGTTTGCAAGTTATCAAAGAAATGAAGTAGCTTAGCTTGGAAATGGCAGCTACTATGGTTGCTAGGTTTGAATAGGAAAAAATTAACAATTTTTAAACAAACCATTTAAATTGTTCAAATAATGTTCAGAAAAATAAATTTAAGTAAGTCATTGCTGTAAGTCATTCTTAAAGCTACTTAATCAAGCTACTGTATGATTTGCTTCTGATGAAACTAGAAAGTTTTTGCAATTCAAGCAGCCTATATGTTATCTACATCTTTATTTTCAGGAGCAAATTGTGAATATCATGTTCGCATGTGTGTTTCAATAAAGCCAAATAAAAAAATTAAATCAGTAGGCCTGAGAAACTACTGAAAAGATATTTTCAGAAGCCTTGACCTAAGCCAGAGATGGTTTATTTTCAGAGATTTTGAACAAAGCTGACTCTAATTTAAATATTTTTATTCTTGGAAATGAGGACGAGATGGCCTTCTTCACTGAGTGAAATCATTATATCTATTTGTAAATATTATTTTGAAAGAATAAGTTACTGCAACTGCCAGTTAGGGAACAGATGATGTTATCTAAAAGTGACTTCCTACATTCTTTCTTTCATTAACCTTGGCTGCTCTTCTTGAATTAAAGTTGAATTATATAATTGTACTTCCAACCCTGAAACCTATTTTTGCCCTGCTTATTTCTTTCTGGCACTTGCTCCAAATGTTTGATAGCTACAAATATTTCTGCATCAGAATTTCATAATGGATTTAGCATATGGACAAATGATTTACTCTGGTACTGAGACTGCAAGAGCATAAGTAAGGTTTTTGTGTGTGTGTGTGTGTGTGTGTGTGTGTGTGTGTGTGCGCGCGCACACACACACGAAAATGGAAAAAACATTAGAAGGAAATCTAAAAATATGAGAGGATAACGATACACAATTTAAGCTAACAAAGGAAGTCCTTACCACATAACTTCAAAGACAAGAGCAGTTCCATTTAAATTTAATTGTATAATAATATTCTTCCTTTAATTTTTTTGGGTAAAACAACATATAGTTGCGAAGTTCAAATCTAGCGCAGAGGATGTTACTTGTTAAACTAGAAACAAAGTGACAGGCCACTTATGAGCAAGCCTGTTTCCGATTCTTTGAATGAAATATGGTCATTATTTGTTGAATGTCAGTTTGGGTTAGTTTTATTTAGTTTCGGGGAAAGAGAGCAATGGCTCATTTTAGTACAGGCACACACAAAAAAACCCAATGGAATCTTCTTAGTCAAGATTTACGTTTGATCTAAATTATATGCCTGCAAGATTGAACAGTAATGCCTTCCTCCCACCCAATGCTTTTGAAGAAATGCCATATTGCTTTGTATACAAAAAGTGGTTTTGCTTTCATGTATCGTGTGCTGTTAATTATGGTCTAGATTCTACTAGCTTTATTCATGCTATTAGTTGCTCTTGGCATAGAAGCTAGATATTCTAAAATTCATCAATGTATTTCCAAAGAAGAGCACTACTGAAAGCATGGGGATGGGAAGAGTGTGGATTTTATTTTGTAACATCAGTGCTTAAGAGTTATAACTTCTTGCTTTTTGTGATAGTCAATTGAAAGTTCCTTGGATGAAGAAAAGAAAATGAATTTCTTTATATCTATCTTCAGGCCAAGCAAAGAGAGCCCTGTCCTGCTGCTTGAACACTCTTGGATTTATAGTTCCTGACTCATTCTGTTGAATTTGGAAGCCATGGAAATGTGTTTCCCCAGGCATCCTGATCATAATGAATGGAAATTCAATTCACTTGAATTCATGCTGAGCTATTATCCCAGCATCAAACAGATCCTGTATAACATCATCCTTATACCCCAATGTACTCTTCAATACATCCAGTGTATGCTGTCCAACCAGAGGTGGTGGTTTAGGATCAGACACTTCAAACTGGCTATACCTTACAGCTGGTCCTGTTGAAAAAAAAAAGAAATCTAATATTAATTTTGTGCATAATATCTTCCAGATGTACTACAGTAAGTGCTTCTGTTATAAACACTATTATTTAATATAAAAATAAATAATTAAGATGCAACATCCACCTAAAGGTATTTTTCTATTTACTGATTACTTTTAAGTCTGGGATTTTCTGCCTTTTCCAAAACAGTAGAAACTATGAGGCACAAATAGCAATACACCTAGACTTATATACCACTTCACAGTGCTCTCTAAGCAGTTTACAGAGTCAGTATATTGCCCCCAACAACCTGGGGGCAATATTTACCAATTTCAGAAGGATGGAAGGCTGAAATACATTTATTACCAGAATATCTAATTTCATTATTTATATTAGAACAGACCTTATACAGTGTTTTCTACTTTCAACTGCTAAAAAACCCTGAAATATATGTAAAAGTATAGCTAAAAATGAGGCAATTTTCCAATGATGTCTATCCCATTGTTGAAAAATTTGCATGGTCAGGATGTCATTCTTAAAATTTTTGGGTTTGGTTTTTTTTTTGTAACTCAAATTCATTGTGTCAGCTCTTCCATGATAGTTGTTCAATTGCAGATTCAACCTGCACAGTTCTTTCAGCCTTATTTATACACATTAGTATGGCTATTAAACAAGGACGTGGTGGCTCAGTGGCTAAGATGCTGAGCTTATCAGTCAGAAAGGTCAGCAGTTCGGTGGTTTGAATCCCTAGCACCACATAATGGCATGAGCTCCTGTTACTTGTCCCAGCTTCTGCCAATCTAGCAGTTCAAAAGTATGTAAAAGTGCAAGTAGAAAAATAGGGACCACTTTGGTGGGAAGCTAACACCATTTCGTGTGCCTTCAGCATTTAGTTATGCCAGCCACATGACCATGGAGACATCTTTGGACAGCGCTGGCTCTTCAGCTTTGTAACAGAGATGAGCACCACCCCCTAGAGCTGGAAACAACTAGCACGTATGTGCGAGGGGAACTTTTACCTTTATGGCTATTAAGCATAGATGTACCAAATCTCTATCGTTATACCATGCACCATGATTATTACACATTATAGCAAGAAGCATGATGAATATGTGAATTTTACAGTATTGGAAAGCCAAACTCTGTATTAGTTCTATCTTCATAGCAATTTCTGAGATCATCAAATGTAATCCTTCTGTAAAGATTGTCTGAAAGGCATGTGGATGGAAATTTTCTGCAATGGTTGTGTGTTAAACTTTTTTTAAAAACGGATGCTGAAAGAATAAAACTAAAGAATTATTCCCCAATGTATATATGTATTATGACTTATCATGCAAGCTGTTAAGATATATATTCTAGATATTACTTCCTCATCAAGTTCTCAAAGGAATAAAAAATTACACTTAGAATACCAAAACTGTCCCTGTAGGAGTTAACTCGATATCACTTTTTTATTTTGTGCCATTCTGCCTCAATATTTCAGGTACCAAATATATAAAAGTTGCAGGACACATTAAACATAAACACATTAAAAACAAAACTGTGGAAGCAACATTTTGTTACATAAGGCCATCAAAGGATGAAACAGCTATTTTGTTTTAAAAAGTCATAGTCTATAAATTTTTATGCAGGATATTTTAGATGAAAAAGGTTACAGATAAAAATGGAAATGTGCTCAGAGATACCCTTGACTACCCAAATGAAGTTCACTTGAATATTCATGTGAGTAGATGTATGCATACTCACCAATGGTGGGATTCAAAAAAAATTACTACCGGTTCTGCAGGCATGGCTTGGTGGAAGGATGCTGTAAAATCTCCACTCTCACCGCACTCCAGGGAGAAGGTTACTGCAAAATCATTCCCTCCCCACTCCTGGTGGAAGGTTACTGCAAAATCCCATTCCTTCCCCACCCCACTACAGTTTTCACTAAGCAATGGAACATAAAAGGCCCTGATAATTCCTGATAATATCCTACTCAAAAATAGATAAGGCACTATAACAATTCCTGGATACTTTCTTTACTGGCATCCAGGCCTATCACTTTGATGGGGAAAATCTTTCAGGTACATCTCTCAAGAGCCACTGCTTCTTTATATTTTTCCTCTGATGAAAATGATTTCCTACAAATAGTTTTAACTATTTAGAATTCTGTTGTTGTTATCTTTTAGTTGTACATGTACATATAGAGAGTAAATCTACAGACTAATAATATTTCCCTGTCCTAAGATCTAATCTAATAGGTTTTCCGGTTGAAATTATGACTCAGTAGCTGCAAAGGAAGGGTGTCAATGATTCAAAGGATTTTCCTATAAGCATGGAGAAAACCTGGATTTGGAAATATGAAAAATATGCTAGAAGAAAGCACTGTACCAAAATTCATCAAAGCAATAATCATTTATATTAAAATATAAGTTGGACTGAACTAAGTAAGAGTTTCTCACGTCTAAGAAAATATGTTTAAAATTCTACTATATGTTAGCTAAAAACTTTCAAGAGTTTTTCAGAGCTTATAAAGAAAGAAGGGATAACTTCTAACTAAACATGGACAAATTATTAGTTTTTAAGGTTAATGATAACAGTAAGATTATTTGACTGTAAGTCTAAAATAATAGCAGCAGTAGTTTAAAAAAAAGCCCTTAAGCTGGGTTCAACTCCTGGTAATTGTATTCATGAAGTTTTCTTGGCAGAGTTAAGAAAGGGGGTGGGCGTCACTGGCTTCCTCTGATACATTTAACTTTCCAGTCTAGCCAGCAACTCTGGAATTCCTAAGCAGTTTTATATCCAAATATTAATCAGAGCTGATCTAGCTTGACTTCAAGTTCAGTCAAGTTTGGATAAGTGCTGCCACCTGCTGAGACAACTATAATGCTGCAAACTTCTAATTAATGTTAAACACCAGCACCTTTCTGATCTTCCTGATTTCAAAAAAGTTACATAGAATCAGACCATCACATCTGGCAATGGTGGTTCAGCTGGAAGTTGAAGAAACACACACACACACACACACACACACACACACACACAGGAAGAGCTGTTAAACTCGAACTCTTCCCGAGCCTTCTATAATTTTATTAATGCCAAACTTAAAGACTCAAAATCTACCCCACCCCTAAATGGGGAAGACTGTAACAATGAAGTTGTAAAGGCCAACCTCTTTAATATGTTCTTCAGTTCAGTCTTTGTTGACAGCAACGGCTACTGCCCACCATTTCCTAGTTGCACCACAATAAATTGTAACGACTTACTACATATTGACTTTACAGCAGTTAATATTGAAACAGCACTACATAACCTAAATCCATCCCTATCTATTGGCCCTGGTGGATTATGTGCCTACTTTTTGAAAAAGTTTGCCACTGCCCTAGCCGAATCTTTAAGCACAATCTATAAGATATCTTTCAGAACCACCTTCTTGCCTAATTTATGGTCATTAGCCACGGTCATACCTATTTTTAAAAAGGGAGACCCTAGTCTAGTAGAAAATTACATACCAATCTCACTTTGTTGCATCACCTGTAAAGTCATGGAATCAAACCAATCCATCACTCTACACTTAGAAACAAACAACCTACTTTCTAACCAGCAGTTTGGTTTCAGGAAAAATTTGTCCTGTAATCTGCAACTCCTATACTGCAGAAACATTTGGACCACACATCTGGACCAGGGTAAAGCAAAAGTACAATTTTCATAGACTTCTGCAAAGCCTTTGATTCAGTGGTGCACGACAAATTATTGCTGAAACTTAGTACTTACAGCATCACCAGACCCCTGCACAAATGGTTAGCCATGTTCCTGTCAAACAAGCAACAAATGGTCAAAATAGGGAAGGCCCTATCAAATCCAACACCAGTTAATAGCGGTGTCCCCCAAGGCAGTGTCTTAGGACCCACACTCTTTCTGCTTTGCATCAATGACCTATGTGACAACATTAAAAGCAGCCGCATCCTCTTTGCCAATGATATAAAATTATTTAATACCACTGACAATGCTGTTGCCCTGCAAAGTGACCTTGACTATCTGTCAGAATGGTTGCGCAATTGGCAACTCCAAATTTCAATTAACAAATGCTCTGTCCTGCACATTGGCAAAAAAAAAAAAAAAAAAATCAGAACACCAAATACAAGTTAGGTGGTGTTATGTCCCTGTCGGAGTCTGAATCTGAGGAGGAAGATGAACAGCTGACAGGGAGTGGGAGTGTGGCTCCATTGGCTGTGGAGGAAACTGGGGAAGGGCAAAGTCCAGCTGGGCAGAGGAGGGGAAGGTAGAACAAGGGAGAGGGAGTTGAGCAAGACCCAGGCCCACCCCTCTTCATCCTGGGCATGCAGGGAGGAATAGAGAAGAGAGCAACATGGGTTGCATGGCTTATGGGGGAGGAAAGGGCCCTGATTCCCTTCATTAGCCATAGCTGAGAAGAGAATTTAAATGCATGCTGAGTGCAGCAGCTGCTGGGAGCAAACACGAATTTATCTTGTGTTGACTTTAGTTATCTGTGTTCCTGGCGTTTCTCCAAGTGTATTGAGTTATTGCCATACCTTTAAGTCTGGAATTCTTGCTTCTGCTCTGCCGGACTAATTACCTCATTTTGCCTTGATTGAACTTATAGTTACAATTTTTGTTGACCATGTTTTGGACTTGATTCTCTGCAGCCAAAGGCTGTTCCTGGGAGAGTTTTTCTCCAGCCAGAAGTTAACCAGGACATTGGGGACAAAGTTGGAGCTAATAAAGGGACTGATTATCTGACTGCGTTGCCTTTGTGCCATGTCCCAGGTCATCACATTTTGCTCCCCAGCCACCCCTCCAACTTGCTTGTGTCTTACATGGGGTGATTATGGATCATCTCAGAGCAGACAATGACCAGCTAGCCCAGCAGGTGTGTCTCTTGGCTGCACAGGCTGTGCAAATGCAAGCTGCCTGGCCACACCACAAATGCCCAGTAGCGGTGCTGGATAAATTTGATGGCTTGCTGGCCCAATTTCCAGCATTTTGGGGGCAGTGCCAGTTTTATATGAGCCT